AGATCTATATTTGCTAGCAGTTAAGAAATAGAGCAATAGCCATTGTAACCATATGATTTATAAGCTTCTTTAAAAAACCTGTAACTGTTTAAGTTTTAACCTGACTCCTTCAGTTGCTGTAACAGAACCAAGCACAATTTAAAAGAACTTCAACTGGTCATAAGGCACAGGTATAGGAAGAGCTTGGGCATTTTGGATCGTGTCCCTCCCAGGGGACAGATCAGTTGGGGCATCTCTCAGTCTTCCCTAGACTGCCTGCTGCGAAGGGATCCTGTATCCTAGCAGCTAAAATCTGAGATGTAATAAGCTCTTCCTATAAACTCTGGGGCGTCTGTCAGCCTGTTGGCTGCCCTCTGCGACAGGACCCCGGTCCTAGTGGTAAAGTTACGGACGTTAAACCTTTTCTAGGTAACACACACACACACACACACACACACACACACACACACACACACACACACACACACACTGCCCTGACCGTTGGCTGACAGAGGGCCATGTAAGTTCACGAGTGGATAAGAATTTTCGAGGCTGTAAAGTACTGTGAGTGGCTATTCTATGAAACTAACATTTCCTTTCAACTCTTCCCTGCTCCCTTTTCCTCCTAATATGCATCATATTTTGAGCTAGTAGGATATGGAAAAATTTCTGCCTTTTAGACAGAAAATGCCTTTCAGTTATGAAATATTTAACGTTATGCAGCAAGAGAAGTTCACGTATCAAGAATGTCACATCTATTAAATCAGATCTTCATTTTTCAGGCATTCTATAGGCAGTTGAACCCGATGGTAATGTTAAGTGACACAATGAATTTAACCAGAATATACTTTGAGCTGCTTTCTTTTTTGACACCAGCTTCACATTTTCACAAGATATAACAAGTTAGCCTGTTTAACAGAACTGAAATTTCAAAAGCTAGAGGAATACAATTTCAGCTGTGTTACCAGTCCCAGTTCTAACAGAAAAATGTCCGGGTAAGATGGTGGTTGTTGTTCATTATGTTAAAAGGGGGACAAGCCTAATAAAATATTAATGTTCTTTTCATTTTAAGAAGAAATAGAGTAAAATTACTCAGAACCTCATCTGTACTAATGAGGGATGTGGGGGGGAGGGAGAGCTGGAAATGCAATTTTTATCTTGTGGTGCCCTTGCCTGTTGTATCTGACTGTTGTCTTACAGCTGAATTGTAAACATCTTGTCTTTTTGTTAATTTGGATTGCACTGCACCTACTAGAGTGGAGGACTGATATGTAATTGAAGATCTAATCATTACTGCATAAGAAGAAGAAAGAGTAGCACTCACTGTTCTTCAGTCATAGGGAAGCTGTTAAAATACGAAGCCGTAGTTGGGTGAAGCAGGGAAGAGAATAAATCTTCAGGAAGATCTCATCTGTACTGTTTGTGCAGTGGGACACTCAGGTATTCAGACACTGCAGGATTGAAGTGTTGGAACAGTCCTTAAATATAGGCTAAATTTAGTATCACATTTATTTTTTTACACAAACCATGGACAATTGCAATTCTCACAGAAATGGATGGGGGAGAAGATTGTACTGCACATATTGTTTTATACTCTGGCTGTTGGTAATATTGGTAATGTTGGTACTATTGTGAATATTCCTACTCATTAGCAGTGTTGCAAGAAAAAAGTTTAGCTCTCAATGTAGGCCTAAAACACACTTAAAAGAAAACTAAGATTTTTAATTAGTTTTTTAAATTCGACTTTCAGAAAAAAATAAATTCTCACAGTACCAATGCTTTTAACTTTTATGTCTGCAGGTCCTTTTTCAATGAATAGATGATTATTTGAAAAAAGAGAAACAAACCAGCATAATAATAAACATATATTTTGGCAGTCACTTTCCATTGACCTTTACCTTCATAATACCACTGGAGGAAAAATTCCATTGTATTTCAGTGTGATTTGGCACCAAAAGCTCTTGAAAGTCTCTTGAAAATCCGAATCACACTGTGCTATTGTAACCCACACACCAAGACTACGTCTACACGGTGATATTTTTGCGGAAGAGGAAATGCAAATGAAGCACTCATTAACATTTCTTGTGCTCTCATTTGCATATTCTCTTCCAATCCTTTTTGAGGCTTTTGCACAAAAAATGCAGTGTAGATGGTGCCATTTTGCACAAAAACCCCTTTTGCGCAAGAACCCTTATTCTTCCATTTTTTTGAGGAATAAGGATTCTGCCTACCAGTTGTACTTACTTGTTTTTCCCTTTGATATTTTCATGCCCTCTGCTCCTTGTTTCCCACCCCCTTTCTTTTTTTTCTTTCCCCCCTTCTCCTTTCTCCCCTATTTATTCCGGGGCTGCACATCCTAAACTCAAAATTCCAGTCATCTGAAGAAGTGGACTGTGCCCACGAAAGCTCACAATACCATTTACATATTTTGTTAGTCTATAAAATGCTACCAGACCATTTGTTGTTTTTTAAGTTCATCCTGTACAGACTAACTCTGCTAGCTTCTGAAGCTTCTAAATCTAGACTGTTTTAATCACTGTTCCGTACCTTCACACAAACTATTTTCCCTGATGTTAGAAGTGACCTGTGTATTAATGGAAGCTGTCTGTTGTGAAATTATTACACAATACTTTGAATTTACCAAAACCTTGCAATTTCCCTACTTCTGGAATTTGAGAATATATATCTGGAAGTGTAACATATTTGGTTTTTAAATTAAAAATAAAAAAGCTTCCTTTATTTCTATGAAAATATTTGTTGCACTGTCAGAAAAGATTTATGTCCAGTGACATACATCTATGTGATTTTTTTCTATATAGATACACCATAACATTTAGTTATTAAGAAGTTAAGACTTTCCAGTGTGATAGTATTAACTTTGTTCTGTCTAAACCCATTTTGTTATCCCTTTCTTCTTTAAATTCATTTTTCCCAGAAAAGAATGAGAGAAGAACAGAATAGTATCCAATTCCAGGTTCATTTATTATCAAATTCATTCATAGATTATTCAGAATTTTATCAAGACCTAGATGGAAATCTATCAGGTTAATCATTTCAAAGCATAACTATGTACCAGTCACTAGAGTATTTCACATATGAAAATGTATTTTATGGAAGAAGCATGAACAGTTCATGCACTTGATGAAATGACATTAGGAAGTATCTTCCTCTGGATGTAGGGTTTACACCGATGGTTCTTGAAAGCCTTTTCAAACTCGCCTTTGCTTAAAAATGCATAAATACGAATAATCTTTTTTCCATTAGGCTTTTATGACCTTACACTTTGTACATGATAACAAAAGTGAATGATCTAACAATGACAAGATTACGGCCATTTTATTAGAACATATCATTAACTAGATATTGCCGTTCTGGTAATTGAGAAATCATATTCAGAGATGTGGTGGGAACTGTCATTATTAATGCCATCTCAAAACATTTTACATTAGTTACTTAGATGATGCTCCCAAGTTATGGAATGAGTGTCAAGGCTCATATCTTTAAAAAAACCTATTTTACAAAGCAATCTTCCAAATTTCCTCTCTTGATGAGCCACTTTCCATCCTTGCTGAAATATTCTAATACATCATCTCATCTATGCAAGAAAAGACAATGTGGCAAACTTTCCAAACCTAGAGAAAAGACAGTTTGGAGCGGTAAAAAAGTACTGCCATTGGAAAAAGAGAGTGTGTGTGTGTGTGTGTGTGTGTGTGTGTGTGTGTGTGTGTGTGTGTGTGTGTGTGGAGGAGGGTAACAAAACAATAGGTTTGTTTAGAAGGTAAAACACTGCTTCACTGTGAGGAATGGTGGGAGAATTGGGCTCTCCGTAAATCAGTTTTGCCTGCTTTTTAAAATTATTTATAGTAAAGTATCACCTAGATACTCCAACCAATATCTGGATCTCCTTAATGCTGGGCACGGTACAAACCTAGTAAGAAGCAGTTCCAGTCCTGAAGTCAATAAAGTCAAAGGGAAGGGAAACAGAAAGGCTACCCCACATTATGAATTTTCTTGGTAAAAAATATGCAAATTAGAGACTCATTTGCATGAGTGGCGTTCTGCCAATCTGTTTTTGCACTGTGGTTTTTGCGCAAAAACAAGCAGTGTGGACATTTTCTTTTTGCGCAAAAACCCCTTTTTCTGCAAGATCCTTATGCCCCCAAAAAGGAGGTATACTGATCTTGCCAGAATATTCTAGTTTTACTCAGTATTTATTATTATGTTCTGAATTGAATTCTAGTTATACTCAGTATTTATTATTATGTTCTGAATTGAATGGTCTCACTGCATAACTTCAACTTAGATAAATCTCACTCTTTTATATTTAACGTTATTTATTCCCATGACTTTGTAAACCTAAAGCTCTGAGAAGACATCTTCCCACCTTTCCAGTTCTGAGGGTACTTCAATACTTAGGTGAAGATCAACTCTCCAGAGGCCGATCTAGCATTAGATTTAGAGAGTCTAATGTAGTTCTGCAAATTGAATGCTGAGGACAGCCCCCCATCGGCATCTGGTATTCCTCATACTGTGAAGAGTAACGGAAGCCAATAGGAGCATGTGCTCCCATCGGCCTCCTGCAGTGTGAACGCTCAGCTTCAGGTAAGCCAACTTCCACTATGCATTTGTAGTGGATGATGTACCTTAAGGTGACCTGCCTGGTCTAGAATAGACCAGGCCCTAGACTGCACTCTGCAGGGTTTGCAGCTTCATTAGTGCTCATGATTCAAAATGAGGTGTTTTTTATATTAGTTCTACTATCGTCTCATCAGCTAAATTTAGTACTCACTGAGTTAATGGCTTTGGAATACAGGGGACTTTCCCCCTCCATTATTCCCAATTGCTGGGAGTACAGGCAGTCCCCGGGTTACGTACAAGATAGGGACTGTAGGTTTGTTCTTAAGTTGAATCTGTATGTAAGTCGGAACTGGTGTCCAGATTCAGCTGCTGCTGAAACTGATCAGTTTCAACAGCGGCTGAATCTGGATGCCAGTTCCGACTTACATACAGATTCAATTTAAGAACCCCAGGCATCCCCAAGTCAGCTGCTGCTGAAACTGATCAGCGGCTGATTCCAGGAAGCCCAGGGCAGGGACTTCCTGTAGTCAGCCGCTGGTCAGTTTCAGCAGCGGCTGGCTTGGGGGCGCCCGGGGACAGGAGAGGG